AATTGTGAGAGAATGTGCTGTAAAATCAAAAATTTTAAACACATTTAATAACATCAGACCGGTTAATTTACACACAAAATAACAAAAGTCCAAATCAGTTAGTTTAATGGTAAAAGGTTGAGATTTTATTAGCGATCCAAAATCAGTTGTAGCACGATGCCCACGTACATACATTCAAAGGTAAAGATAAAAATTCAAAGAAATAAAACTAAGAATGTATTTCAGTATTATTGATAAGACTTCGAAGCAAGAAAATCTGGTTGACTTATACCCATAAAAACTATAGGGTTTACTTATATGTTGTAATTATGAGAATTCCTAGTTTTTAGATGGTGGAGAAGATTAGTGTCTTAGGTGAACTATTTAAATGGGGTTTCATTTTCTGAGCTGAGTGGTTCAATCAAGAAGCTTGTCATGTTTACTTATACTTATTGAATTGCTATCTCTTAACAATAGCAACATTAATAACAAATAGATATAATGTCATCTTAGAGGTTTATCTTGACTGAACAAATATATAGGTGAAATTGTATTTTATGAAGACAAAAATAATCTATTAGCTAGGAAGTACTAGAAAACTGTTTTATCCTAGTTTAATACGTTTCGCTGGTGCAACCGAGAACTACACTTCATAGTTATCGTAATATGCATGAAATAGTTGAGGCATTGATTAAAAATTGAATGGCTTATGTTTTTAAGCCCATTCACTTAACTTTGAAGACCAATTTTCTATGAACCATACTCTTCTGTAAAGAAACATGCATTGTCAATGTGCAACAACGCAAGTGTACAAAAAATCAGACCTCAAACAATCAAATGAAATTATACACATACTGTCTAATTGTTTCATCCAGTAAATTTGATGCTAACCAGAACAAAGCGCACTTGATGAGTCTATGATTGAATATTAGAACTTAGTCTCAGTGTTCTTAAAGTAAGTTGTAGATTTTAAAAAAGGCTAATACACCAATTACTTAATTGTATTTAATTTGCACTAGAACTAAATAATTGATAGTCTTAACCTCCCACCACTTATCACGTCAGTGATGAGATCTAGTCTTATTTTTCTGATTCTCATTAGTTTGACTTAAAAGAATCTTTGAGGTAATTATATTGTTTGAGTTGATCGTTTATCAGCCTTTGATGATCCTTTTTATATTGCCTTGAGTTTATTGTGTTTGACGGATAATTTCCTAACTGGAAGTACCACAGCCGGAGGTAATTAAATTATGGTTTATCTTATCAAGTTAGATATGAAAAATACGATGTGTGACACGTTTTCCATACAGAGTTTATTCGTTTGGTTGTATCGATGATAAATATTTTGCGTGCTGATCGCTTGTATGACTGTCTGAATTTATTGCTATCACGTGCCAAAATAAATTAGCCTATCATAAGGATGGTACGTATTTGTATTTGTATATTTTTTGGTATATTAAGTGAAGTAACCAATCGAATATCAGTTCAAATGACTGGAGATAGTTTACATAAGAGATTTCCATACGGTAGAACAATAAAACACGTGATACTGGTAATCTAGTTAACCTGCTTTTGTTGTCCTATAGCTAGGACACCGTCTACAATTTAAATGCATGGGTGATTATGCCCACTTTGTATGAGATGTAGAAAAAATGTGTCAAATCGTGGAGACTGGTGTATTCACGTTTCAAATATAAAGTTAATATCAATCTAGATTATGTAGGAAGTATGCTCAAGATAAGGCTTTACGATATATCTGACATGCTCATGATACTTGTATTGGAGCTCAATGCTCCAACACAAATTTAGTGATAATCCAGGTAAAAACAATTGTGCAAAAATAAATTTAGGTTAACTCGGAGTAGAATAATTAAGAAAGTTGTTATGCAATCACTACGAGAAATTGGAAAACACAAATGTCTTATTTTACCTCCACTGATGCTCAGAGTCTCGTGTTCTTTCTTGCTGATTTAAATAAGTTTAAACAACTATCAAGTTATCATATCAGTGAAATGTACTACTTTTTCTTTAAACCAAAAATTTCCTGATTCAGGAACATATCATCCACTATGGACTTAACTTCTTGTAGTCCGAGAAGATAAATAATGTGAACTATTATATCATTAGTAGTTCATATGTTTATCTCACTTGATATACAAATGTATATCCAGCAGATCACAGAGAAATTCCAAACAAACAAGTAGCATTATTTACTAGTTACACCTAAAGAGATCGAAACTTGGTAGAACTAATATGTAAGTGACTCAGAACTCCAATGTGAAAAATTAATGTTGTTGCAATCAAGATCCAAGAAACAGATAAGAATATTGTGAACAATAACAGGAATATATTAGAATTGAAATTCAATGAAAATTTTTAAAAAATTACAGTGATGTCATTTTATGGAGCAGATTCAGTTAGATGTACATTAGGGATCTAAGTGAGTCCAGAACAATCAATAACGAATGGCCAGGACCCATATTAAATTATGAAAGCATAACATCAATACAACAAAATATATTTTAAGATTAAGCATACAATGAGTCAGATGATTAAATTCTGTTTTTTTTCCACCTCGTAGGTCTCCGTTAAAACAAACGACCGTAATAAAAGTTAAAAATACGATAAGGAATAAAGACTTCAAAAATTATGTGCGGATACGTAAAGAAGAATAGACACATTCAAAGAATGCAAAGAAGGAAGAAGACAACAGTGAAACAGTAAAAAGGGTCGTCAGTAAGAATTTGTACACAAATCCAAGGATGTCAATTTATAAGTAAGAACTGAGGTTGTTAGCAACACTTTCAGTTTTCAACGCGTGCTTTGTATCCAGTACATTTAGCAACTTTCTCGTTCATTTACGGGATGGATTTTGACTATTGAGGTGGATTTCTACTAAAGATTATGTTTCCAGTTTCTGAAGTTATCCACGAATGTTTGTTATGAACATGTCAGCTTAGTATTCTCAACGTTCCAGAGGAGAAACGTAATATCTAGAAATTTAGAGCTTGAAATTAAATCTCCCATAAAATTTAACTACCCACATGTCTCATGCATTCAAAAGACTGGGAGGGGAATAGTGGCTGAAAGTTACAGAAATAATATAGATATTGAACATTGAAACGTTGCAAAAAGCTTCAGTCTATGTGAGCAGTGGATATTTAACAATTATTTTGTTTCCATAGACATTATGAACTGAAAATAGGACGGTTAAATAACAGACTTATCTCTGAATGTAACTTTTACTGGTTTGTCTTATTTAAAGATCATAAAATGAACCAAGCTAATATGCTCTTATCTTAGTACAAGTTACTTATGTACTTATGTACTTATGTTACTTATGTTGGCAGATATACGCAGTATGTAGCACCAATTAGACGTGGAATGCTTGGCAGCAGAAGATTAAGTTGGAGAGGACAGAAAACGAAATAAAGAAAAATTGAAATAACAACAGAACTGGAAGAATCATGAATCGTGTTGATAAATCTTGCTAATTGAACATTTTACTGGGATTCTAAACTAGTCTCGTAACTCTCAAGGTAAATCTACACAGCGACTTGAACACGAGAGAAAAAACTAGAAATGCGCGATAAGCACTTTACTCCAAAGTTTCATTTATGTACAGAAAATATAGGGTTTTTATAGTATTTTAGAAGTCCTTGGTTTTTCCTGAAAATTCTGGAATGCTACTAAACATAGTAGCAGTGTAGTAATCAGTCAATCAGAAACTCTACATGTGACCTTTTACCTTCGTGATGTTTCTAGCAAAACTCTTAGTCAAACGCTGATTAGATAAAATGCTTCCTAATGTTTCCTGAGCCTTTGTTGTCTATTGCGAGAAATTTTCATGATCGCCCCAACACGTTTAAGGGACAACTGAAGGAAGATGTGCAAAGATTGTATTTGATGTATGGTTTTCATATTTTATGAAGTTACAGCGGTTTACCTCACCTGAGTTTTGGCTTAATGCACTTATACTAATTAATGTAGAGGTAGATTGATTAAATAATGAAGAACCAATTCAAACAAAAGCTAATGGTTTATACGTTAATCTAACATGCTATTACGGTCTGTTGAAACTCTGAGTTGATGAAATGACTTCACTTGTTTTATTTATTATTTATAAGACTGTAAAAGTAGAAATATTTAAATATTGATCCGACCATGTGTAAACCTTATTAATGGGGATCAATATAGTTTATAACCTTATACTTTAAAATTATATGAGAAAGAATTAATGATAAATGAAATAAATAAATATTTCTAAATTTGTTTAGTATTTTCTTCAGATTTGCACAACTGTGATGAGTTCCTAACAAAGAAGAAACAACATTCTCTAATTCTACTTCACTGAAGATAGTCGTTGTTGTCCAACCTGCGTCCAACGTGTTTCACTGATTCCAAGAAACCCCAGGTTGTATTGTCTCATTTCTGCAGCAATTTGGAAAACTCTTCCGGTCTCCCACATTGTCCAGACATTCCATGTACCTATAAAAATTGTCGCTTTGGTTGTTACAATGTGCATCGGCCTCATGACTTCCGAAGGAACTCGGCCTCATGAGACGTCATAATTATTCCTTCTACTCCCAGAGCACAGCTTAAATTGTTTGAATAATTTTTTCTGGTTAGCGTTTTTTAAGCGATTCGGTTTTCTATGGGATGGGGTCGCTAACACCATGCCCAACCCTCCTCCTTTGCCCGGGCTTGGGACCGGCAGTAGCCCCCGTAGGAGCTACAGGCGGAGTTTCTAGTTCTACGTGAACTAATATTATTTACTACTTCAACATAAGAATATTACATGTAACATTTGAGTGAACTTAGTTAGCGTTGGCGCAGTGTAAACTATCACAAAGATAATGGTTAACATAGTTTATTATTTTATTAAGTGTGATTATTCTATTAACTTCATCAACACCAAACATTACGAACAACAGTATTGATGAATTAGTTCACCAGAAAAAGAAGAAACCTTATTTTGCAAACAAATAAATATTCAGTTTACATTATCAGTGGCTCAGCCACTATAGTTCATCTTTTGGTAAGTTCTCTAAATGCCTTCCATAATCAGTTGCTTGACTTCCAACCCATAAATCATGTTGATTAAGTACTTCCTCTTTTGTTAATGAACCATCTTTGTCTTTATCAGTTTCATTGAATAAATGTTCAGTTTCATCGGTGGCTGTTTTGTCAAAACCTTTTAAAAAAAATTATTTAAAAACAGTTGAAAGCTTCAAATTTCCAATAGGAATGTAACAAGATTAAACAACCTATGGTTGGTTTTTATTGTGAAATGACTTCAGCTGGACAACTATTAAAAGTCAGTGACCATTGGACGTATATTTAATCCTTGTTTTACCCCATTTAGGAGTGCTAAATCACACTATTCACTCTTCATTCATTTAAAGCTATCAATGAAATTCCGTACAAAATGTTTTTTTTAATTATGCTACTATGTAACGGTTAAGTAGTAAGTTATGAAAAATCAAATATAAATGTGAAAAAAAATTTTGTTAAAGCATTAGTTCCTTGGGGACATATAAACAAGGAATAACCATTACTATGCAATCCCATAAAATTTATTTTTAAGATTTGGTCGAGTTTAAACGGAAATGATTCACTAAGATGTAGCTTCATTTTCGTATGTAATCGGTAATCACCAGGCTCTATGTAGTACTTCTTTTGTTAAAACTACAACTCAAGAAATAAATTAGATTGTAATTAAAAGTGTAAACGAACTCCCAGAAGTTTCTTTTTTCAACATAATTGCCAAAAATTAAGAGAAAATAAGTTAGATTAGTACAATATTGGCGATAGGAAATGAACAAAAGACTCTTAGTTCAAAACTTTTATTTCAAATCTTATCGGCATCTTAGTACGTTGAATATGGAGAGAATTTATCAGAACACCTAAGTGCTACTTTGCAAGTTATATACAAATAACGTTTTGTAGATGATAAATGGCTGAGAAAAGTAGATAATCAATAATATAGCTCTAAATAACCGGTATTCCCCGTTAAAAATACATACTAACGATTTTTATTTCGCATGTTTTCATGGAAAGAAACGCTAATTGGACATTAGGAAAGTAAAAGCATCATAAACTGAAATTAGGGACTTGCCACCTACCATTTGGTAAATTATAAATAGATCAAAAATAAGGGATGTAGTGTTATAAGGCTCTTGATCTATAATTGTATTGTTAATAGGTAGAATCACTTCAACAGTACAAAACGTGATGATGACAGATGTGTCATAATTTCAGTTTTGGTAATAAAGGGAATGCAGTTGTCACAGTCAGAGTTTCATAAAACATCTATTGTATACTTGTGACAAATTCAATAAATAAAAGAATTTTAAAGAATCAGATTCTAACTTTTATGTCGGTTGATAGTTGTTTAGAATTTCATACATTCATTGATTGTAGTAATGCTATCATTTCTTTGCAAATCAGCCCCTTCATATTACGCATCAAATCTCCCTCGTTTATCGATCATGCTGCTCAAGTACAAGAACCTTTTCACCACTTCCACTTCTTCTCCATCAAGTGTGATTAGGTTTGTACTCTTTGTGCTTTCGTTGACTTTGACTAATCGCTTTGGTTTACTATATCTCCCTGTTAGTTTCTTCGTTGTATCATATATTTGTTTCAAATTTCCTTATCTTCAAGCTTTTTCTGCTGCCCTTGCTAGCTCTTCCACGTATTTCTGCTTTTCCACTTTAATGTTTTCTTCACTTTCTTTTTTGCTTCTGTGTACTCGGCTGGTGCCTTGACTTCATCTGATGTTGTTCGGTTGTTGGTAATTGCAGTCTTCCTGTTCATCATTTCTTAATCTTTTCTAGGGTTTCCATAGAGATCCATTCCACATGATGATACTTCCTGCGACTCGGGACCTCCAAACACGTTGAAGTGAGTGCTTCTTTGTTACCTTTGTAGTTGTGCTCCATAATAGTTTCTTCTTTCTGTAGATCAAGTAAGGTTTGAAACGTGTTGTTGAGAGTTATTTTGAATTTGTTGAGTTTGTTAGTATCGAGATGGAAGACTATATTCAACCTCTTAAATTCTATTTCTCCCGTTGTTCAGTATTACTTTAGCTTCGGTTTCATCCTGGCTACAAACAGGTGTTTATCTGAAGCTATGTCAGCTGCCCTCTTTAATCTCACGTCTTCCGTTGAATTTCTGAACTTTTTATTGATGCAGATCTGTTCGACCTAGTTCTATGAAATGTAACCCGTTGAGAACGAAGTAGCTTTGTACACGCGTTTGTGGGGTAATATTGTACCACCGATAATTATTTTGTTGAATGCACATAAATTTGCAAATCTATCACCATTCCCATTCCTTTCTCCCAGTAAGTCTGTGTCATCTTATGATATGTTCATACGCGGTGTTGTAGATTACGACTTTGGCGTTTAAGTCTCCCATCAGTGTGTTCAAGTGCTTTTCTGGACAATTCGCTATGATCGACTGCAGCATCTCATAAAACTGATCTCTGTTGCCTTCGTTGCTATCACTGGTGGGTGCATAGTAATGGATAAAATTCATTGCGGTCCGCCCCTTCTTCGTTCAGAAGGATACTTTGATGTCCCTGGATCTATTAGATTCTTCGTTCTTATTTGGACAGAATCAATGCAACTGCCTGTACATGCGGAACATTTTCTTCTTTATAACCAGAGTACAACAGAATCTTTCCCAAATCTAGTCTGATCTGTCCAGCTTGTGTCCAATGGGTCTCACTTATTGTGAGCACTATCAAGTTGTATCTATCCATTTCGATAACTATTTGATTGATCATTCTAATCTCTCACATTCTCCGAACACTCCATGTACCTATGTAAATTGTTGCTCTCACTGTCAGAAAGGTAGTCGGCTTCGTGGTTTCTAGAGAATCGTGGCTTTCATCATGAGGCGTCATAATTCTTCGAAATGAAGATCCTTCAGTTCCAAGGTCAGAGTTTAAGTGAATTTTTCTGGTTAGCGTTTTTTAGTAAGATCGCTTTAGAAAGTATCCTCAGAAGAGCTACAGAGTAAAACACTATAACTCACCTGGTGTAACCCATAATGCCATTTCATTTGGATCTAGTTTTCCATCACCATTAATGTCGTAGTTCTTAAAATTCTCTCTTTCTATAATTAGTGCATCTTTATTCATTTTATCTGCAAATACAACGATAACAGTTAGAAAAACGTGTGTAATCGGGGGCTTATCGACGCTAAAATTTGCTTCTCTACTAATTATTAATAGCTCAGAAGTTAATGCACTGGGATCGCCACTCCACTTATTTTCTTTTTGACAGTCAGATGGTATCATTTACCTTGGTATCAAAAGTTCAACTCATATCCAATTATACAAATATGTTATTTAGTGATTTATTATCAATCAAAAAATTAACGTATTGAAATAATAATATACTTGTTTGGATGTAGACTTCCTAATTAACTTCGTGGATCGGTTGGAGTTACACATAAACACCATCGGATGCCGGCTCAGTGGTATATCGGTTAAGTACTCTGGCGATATATATATATGTCTTACAACAATCAAGTAATACTTATCGAGTAGTTGCGTTATGTAATCATTATATAATGACATATTAATTATAAAATAATAGTTAGTAATTGGGAGAAATAGGATCATCATGATCAAAATCAATTGTCACGTTGCATAATGTGTAAAAAAAGAACAATGATCAAAAACTAATCGAGAAATTTCTTTCCTTCTTTATTTACCAAAAACAACTGACAAAATGTTTGATGAAACGTCAGCATTACAGTAGTCATGTCAGAATCAAGGGATGAACATCGAGAGATCAAGTTTATTTTACTACTGTGTGATATTAAGAAGGACACCTTGGTTTTTCAGTTCGTTTTGTCTATCTACAACCATGCAACATCCAGTAAATTCTACCACGATTCTGTGTATTTGCGATTGGTGGTCGGACTACAACCATTTCAGTAGAATTTTGTTCTGGCTAGGATCTAGAAAACATGGCACTGATCACATAATGCTGATATTACTCTTATATTTAGAGCAAAGTTGTTTGTATAGAGAAAAGATCTATCGCTTGCCAACTTAAATAAAGCTCAGCAGTACTTTCAGGATTTAAACATTAGCTAATCACAATGACAACAGAAAGTGATACACTATTGTATTTAACATGTGTATCAATGAAACAGTAAGTGAAAATATTGTGAAGTATATATCCTACGTGATGAGAGCAGTAAATAACAAATCAATTAAAAATCAACAATTGAGAACACATATATTAGTATGGTTTGTGACTATTTGTTTTGCTTTAAGGTTGTTTTGATCTTGAGCAGGAATCATATTTGAAACCAGCTCATAGAGGATGAACAGCATTACTCTCCTAGTTCGGGACACTATAGTAGTGCTCACGCAACCTCACATCAAGTCGGACCTAGTAAATTCATGATTTTCAACAAAACAATTATTCACATAATAACTGTAGTTAATAGTGATTATTGAATTCGAAACATGTGAATTTAACTTAGTCAATAATAAGGCATTTTCTTACAAATGGGATTTCATCAGAACTACAGTATAGTCCAAGTGGACTTAAGTTAAGAGTGTGGGCTATTCTATCTATAATCAGTAATTAATCAGTGTTGGGCTTGCTATAATATCAAAAACTTTTGAGCTCAATCCATTGAATGAATTTTGAAACCATATTGCCAAAAAGCCTCAAATTAAAATGGAACAGCTGTAAAGCGTCTTCTATTTTTCGTTAGTTTACAAGATTTTGGTCTGTGATAAGAACTGTCTTAAAAACTTAAAAACATTTGAAAAAAATGCCTATGTGCTCAATAATGTTCGTACAATTATTATTACTAATATTACTATTATTGCTTATTTGTATGTTACTTACCATCGGCTAAGTATTCAAGTTCACTAATAAATCCGTCTTTATCTTTATCGAAATCCCTTAAAGTATGCTTTAATTCATACGGTGCCATATGACGATAATTATGAGGATGTTCAAATGCAACAAATTCTGTTTCATTTAAATAACCAGTTTTATCTTGATCAGCTGAATCGAACTTCAACTTTTCCTCATCTAAAGACTGATTAATTCATTCAAAAAAAATAAGAAAAACAAAGATTAGGAAACAATAAGACCCTTCTAAGCAAACTTGTACACCCTAGCCTTAGTGTGTAAGCAGAATATCACTGTTAGTAGACTTTAGTATTTAACAGGTTGGGTGACACTAGATATAATAAGTGCCTGTATACATATTCTGCTTCAAAATCGGACGGTGAGTGAGAGATTGTTAACAAGGTAGGCTGTTGGAGGATGTTAGTTAATTAAGTTCATATGTCCTTGTATAGATCAGAAGGATAGATATTTATGTACCCATGTTTTGCGTACACTTTATTCTGTCTATCAGTTACAGGTTCCTAATCAATCTAATTCTTCTCACTGGTGTAGCTGGTTAGTCAAGAACATAGGAAGTGTGTCTATCTGCGTCTGAATTAGACGAACATGGTATATAAAACTCTCTTTCAGATTCAGTTAATTACCATCATTACAAAGATTTGTTATTATAAAACTATATATCTAAACGAAAAATATTCTTTGAAAGAAATTCTTTTCACAGTCTACAGTTATATAAATTAATAATCCAAAAAGTGGTCAGGTGGTTTAAAACAAAATGCATCATTTGAAATCATAACACATGAACGTGGGATTATTTGGAAAAAATAATTTAAATTCATTTAATATTGTTTATTTGAATCTTCCCATCAATGTGTTAGGACTGCAACTGGTCAGTCTCTAATTGGCATATGTGCATCATGTGCGTATTGCTTCGATATAGCCTTAATTCACAAGCGTTGTAAGCAGAGATGGATAATGGCTAGCAGTGGAATCCAGGATGAATAACAAACATTGTAAACTTGAATAAGTTTATATGTTTAGTAAATAATTCAATAGTTGAAATTATGAGTCAATTAAAGCTAGGACACCATAGAAAACCTGGAAGCAGTGGCCGGTCTTTTCGTCTTATTGTGGGACTCCTCAGCAGTGATCATCCACGATGGTGATCTAGCTTTAATAGACTCATGAATTCAACTATTAGATTGCTAAAATCTTCACAAAATCTCCTTCTGATAATAAATAATTACAAACCCTGAAGTGGATTTATTCAAAAAAACTATTCTTAGTCCATATATTTGTTTTAATATGATAGGTATATTTCAGCAACCTATATGTTTCATAATATATTGAACTCAACTGGGTAAGCAAAATGAAAAATTGCTTCTTGAACTGAATCAGCAGATCTAAACAGATTGGAACCTAAGACAAGAAAGATTGTCTAACTGAATGAATCCATATCGTTAATCAAAAAATATATTTAAGCTACATAATATGACAAACTTCAAGTGAAAATAAAGATCACAAAACAATTCATGTGAATTTGACTGATCTTATCAAAGGTCTGTTTTTATTTTTTTATTTCAACACATAAATATTGGTACAAAGGGTCACCCAATACATATTCACCATATAAGTCACTTGATGTGTGTGTGGGCTATGATAGTGCCCGAGTGCCAAAACCGAAGCAGGTGGTTTTCTTAAAGATAATAATCCACGAACCTCTGACCTGAAGGTCTAATCCACAAGGCAGTGGAGCAACGCCAGGAGATGCAGTTCCATGGTAGCCGATGACCAACGATTGGTTCATACGCCATTTGTTCCCTCAGGATCCTGGAGCCCATATGCACCATTGGTTCGGAATCAGGGTTTTCCAACTCCCCCAGGTGGATTCACCAACCCGGTTAAAGTGCAAAACAATCACTTTTCATCTTCTCAATTTCGTATACAACAGTAATGCCGCAAAAAGGCCGTGAGTAGGACATATCTGGTAGTGGCTGTATACGCGTGGCCATATGAGAGCATTTCAAGAGAAAGAGCTGGCTCTCCTTACCCTCGGCCGTACCATGGCGTTTGGGGGCCTGTACCAATTAGTTAAATGAAGACCTTTAATAAGTTTGTTTGTTTCTCAGACTATGGAAACATTAAAAAATAAAACCGAAAGGAACATGGAATTTTATGAGTTTGTTCATGTACATTGTTAAACAGTTTGTAAATTAGACTGTAGCTCTGATATCAAAAAAAATGTTATGTGGATATTTTCAGGGTAACAGCTGATTTTCCATTAAATCAATAATAATGACTATTATGATGCCAAGTTATGTCAGTTGGAATATTAGAAAGCAGTCATACATTATACTCGGAGTTTATTTCCTACAGCCCATTTCCAACAAACTGAATACGCAATATGAATCGATATTTCGTTAGTATAAAGTGAAATAATAGATAAAATCAGATAACTTATTTGTTCATTGCATCGTTTTGTTAGTTTATGAGTCAATGAATACCAAAGATCAGTTGTGAAAATTCTTGAACAGTGAACACACTATTGTCCTGAGTAGATATGATACATGATCAATCTTGGGTTTCGAAACATTTGTTTCAATGTTTAATTTAGTCGTGTAAATTAGCATCATGATTCCAAAGATTTATTTCAGAACTATCATTATTATCATGATAACTCATTCAAAAAAAAAACTCCCTTCAACTCATCTTTCAGTTATACTTTCGTTTGAAAACTTGAAACCCTATCAGGTTATCTTGAATTGAAATAGTTAAAGATCATTTTGAGTCTGTAACTAATTGTCTGAAGCTTAGTTGCTTGAATTACTAAGTCATAGTCTAAGATAAAAAGAGTTCATTGTCTGATGCTCTCTTAATTTCAGCTATTACTTATTGTATTCCAATTTCGGGTCAAATTACTTTGTTAAGAAAGACTTTTACTTTAAACCTTATGTCGTACCTGCATATGTCTCAATCTAAAACCAAAAGAAATTGATCATGAAATTTTTGAGAGGAAGCTGTAGTTAAATGTCTTTTATAAAACAAAAATTTGCTATGCTTTCTAAGTGTTATGAAGGTGATTAAGTGGACTTAATTTATAAGTAACACATATTTATAATGGATTGATAATCGCGTAATATCAATGAATGGAGCATATAAGCGTGTACATTTGAAGAATTCTAATTTGAATAATCTAATACATGACTTATTTATAGGGAATGAAGCTTGATTAGACATGCCTGTTGATGAGATTTAAATTTACTTTCATTAACTGAAAAGTCAATAATTATTCATTATTAAAGAATAAGTGGAATGGGTTTAATTATACAAGCCATTAAGTGCTTTTCATTCTACTTGGGACTCTTCGGCTGGATTTATTTGCATCCTAGAGTTGATTTTCCGCCTAGGATTCGAGCTCAGTACCTTTGGCTTTCGACGTTTGACGCGTTGTCCACTTAACTTCAGACTCTAGTTAGTCACTCACTTGGGCAACGGGAATGAAATTTTTAAAATTTGTTATGTTTTGGGTCATCTCGCTGTTAATATTTTTGACTGAACAAACACCCTATTTAGGATTTAGGTAAATCTGGTTGTCAAGTGTCATATAAGACGAAGCGCCCACTTTTTATCCCACCACTGGATACATAACATCTGTCCTATATAAACTTGTGATATAATGACTATATCGAGGTAATCCTCAGAGGATGCGCATATGCCAACTAAGATATCAAACATGGTAAGCGGAGATGGATAGTGGCTAGCAGTGGAATACAGGACGCGCGTTTCGTCCTATTTGGGACTCGTCAGCTGGATGTACTTGCATCTCAGAGTTGATGTTCACTCTGGGACTCATACAAACATATACATGCATATACAATCATATACATAAAAAACAAATGTCATGACGATATAAGAAACAGTGATATGAATCACACAACTCTGGATATGAAATAACTATTAGTGTTCGTACAAAGTGATCATGAACACAGGAAAATTCGACCTTAAGTATGTCTAAGGACTTACAAAACCCTGCTATCCGCACCAGACAAATTTTGTTCAAAATCTCAAAAGTTGAATGAAGATTCCTCTTATGATCCGTTTCAATTATATTTTTGGCAGTGGAAGATGTGTATTTATCATCTGTTTCAATTGGGTCATCTAACTTTATTTATTTTTCCAGCTATTTTGGTACAAGCTCAACCACCTTCATCCGTAAGTCACGATTACTCCTCTTTATCGATATGTATCCATGCAAAAATAGAGATGGATTAACATAATGAGCTGTGATGGAATCGTCTACAGACCATCTGGGTTTCGATGAAATATAGATCTTGTTCTTTCAATAATAATGACAATAGCCTTCACAAGACTAAATGATTCGACGCTAAATAGTAGAGGGAGTTAAAAAGACTTTTCAAGAGCTAAAGACATATTAGATATCATAATACCGTAGTTTTTCCATTGATTTACGAACGTTAGTTAATATTTATTTGGTGCCAGTGTTTCGTTTAGCAGTTTCAGCATTGCCTGTTGTACAGTTACACTCAACCACGCTTTTTATCAAACTACGTTCGCATCGGACTAAACCGTAATTATAAATGAACGGTCTTTCCTTTGACTAATAAATGAATCCAAATTGGAAAGATTGATACAAAATGAAACCTAGGGTGTCTGTTCAGAAGCTCCTCATTAGGATAAAACAGCCTACTAGTATTTCATAGTTCTTTTAATGATTCTTCATCTGATATCAGTTCAATTATATGATATACAGTAATCACCAGAAAACAACACAGAATTATGCTTTTTGATAGATATTTAGCATTTACATTTAAATATAAAAAATATGAAATTCAGAGAAGAGAGAACAAATATGGAACACTCGACTAACAAACTTTTGTAACTTGGTTTCATCAATCAGAAAGAGCATTCCTATCCACTTTGTGTTACTGAATACATAGGATCTACTGTGCTAAATGCTTTAATGATAATGAAAGTCTGAACAAGGAATTTAGAAATGTCGTTCCAATCAAATATTTTTATATGAATCTAGAGTTTAAAGGTAACCAAACTTATGGTGTATGTAGGAATCGATTGACCACAAAAGGTAAAAGAATGTTCTATGTAGAAAAACAACGGCTTTCATTCAAAAGCAGAAATCTGTTTTCCGTATCCACAAAGGTAAACATTCCTCGTCTGTTAGTTTACCCTCTTCGTTGGAGCAAGGTAAATAAGCAGAAACCAGCTCTTGCTCTCAACACGAACACGAGAACAGTCCAGTTTCACAATGGTGAAAGGAAAGTGGTTAGAGGTTCTACCCTCAAACATTTAATGGACTATAATCACTCCACTGATCAACATGTTGATTTTAAGGTATTTTGAAAATAATTCGTTGGTAAGTAAAGATGGACGGTAGATAGCAGCGGAATCCAAGATTCCTTTTCTAGCCACCATCCATCTCTGTTTATAATGCTTGTGACTCATGGCCTATATCGAGACAATCCTCACAGGATGCACATAATCCAATGAGAGACTGATCAGTTGCAGTCTTAAACATATGTGGGAAGATTCAAACAAACAATACAAAAATTAATTATAATCCGTTTATATTTAACTTAGAACAACGAGAGGTCTTTTTGCCTGAACTGGGTGTACAAAAGATGTATGTCTTGTCTTTGTTTTTATCGTGGCCTTCATCTACTACTGTCGTTATTATTTTCATTTGATTGGGTTTGCATTTGAAAATATTCCCACCCCCTTTAGTTACTTCTTATAACTCTATGGTTCTATTCGGTATTGTTTCTAATCTAACTTCATTTCATTTAGTCCGTCTACCACGTTTAATTATTATGAAAAAAAAAATCATTTTAATTACCTTATTCCATCCACATTATAATCCACTGTTAGTTTATTAGTTGTACATGCCTTTTAATTCACACACACATTTCGTAGAAGTTACACAAATTATTATTATTATTATTATTATTTTACATTTATATAACTTGATATTGTAATCGTCACAATAAATCATCATGCTTGTTCATTGTTTATACTACCTCCGTAAACTTTATGACATAGTTATTTGACTTTAATCTTATGAATACTTCAATAGACTAAAAGAGAAGTGAAGTTTAATTATACGAGACCAGAAAAAAAAACAGTATAACGTGATTTTCGCGCAAGTTACGACCTGTATTAAAATTAAAAGTTTAAATCACAAGAATGGCCCATGAAACAACCACTTTAGAAACGAATGAATGAAAATATTAAAGTCTGAAGATAACCAAAAACCACTAGTCTTAGTCTAGTACTCCCCACCTTCTCGAAAATGATCACAATTACAAGTGACTTGGTTCGTGATCGCAACTACTATAAAGGATTGCCCAGGATAGTATTGAATGGAGAATGCTGTTGAGCGGTCTATGCTCCTCCACGAGGAGTAACAAGAGTAGGTGAGTACGTGAGTGGTTCACAATCCGTTTCCTTAATTTCCAATGAGAATCCGTGAGCTATGAAGTTAACGATTTCAAGAGTGAATCAGTTATTTAATAGTAGCATTTAATAAGGGGCTTATTATATAGAGTTGACTGAAGTCGGTATTGCGAACCATTGGAGCAAACGTTTTCACTTCAAATGTATTGTGGTCGCTGAGATGTAGTAGAACATCTAAGTAATACATTTAAGTTCCCACGATTATACTTAGCTTATACCAGTTCATTACAAATAATTTCTTTAACTTATACAAAGTTATTCGCGCAACATTTAAGTACATAAAACTGGCTACATGTTTAGAATTGTTATGTTACCATAGTGGACAATAATAATGGATGTCGTGACAGCAAAAGCTCATTTTTTTATTATCTATTTATGTAATATACAAAATTAAATGGTATCTATGAGGTATTTTACATAATTTACTGTACAGACAGTATTAGTTATTATTTAACCATCATTAGTAAAATACTTCTGTTTCTCAGAACATCTATCTCCATGAGGTCATGACATTACAAGAGAACAAATAAAAGTAATTGTGTTACTTATTTTCCAAAAATAATTCCATTACAATCTACCACCTTAAATTGTATTGTTAAAAAAGGTTTAACAAGTGTCAAGTAGATACAAATAGAATAAAAATTTATAAATAATTTTCTTTAGAATAACCTTAACTTAGCAACGCACATGATGTACACAAAAATTAATATTAAACTAAACATATATCAAACAAAGTAAACATTTTACCTGGATAAATAACTTTGTATCGTTCTTGCTATCTTTACGAAAATCTTCTAGCTCTTGAGCTGTGTAACCATAAATTTTATTTGTATATTCAGACCAAGCAACTTGACCATCACCATCGGCATCGTATTCCTTAAAACGTGGTTTGGACGCTTCAAGATCAAGGGAACTGATAGACACATGTAAGTAGATGACAGAATGAATTTGAAAAGTGAAGAAAGCCCGAAAAAAATTAATAAAATCTAGATTTTTTCTCACCTTATTTATGGATATTTTCTATCGGTCAATATAAAACTAAATCCATAAATCAAGGCTGTCAGAGAGTCCTATTCGAGGACGAGTCAGTTGTTCAATGCTTCTTGGTTTTACTCAATCATCAATCAATAGTCAGATCATGATGTAAACTACGAAATATACTTATGCTTTTACACTTATTTAGAGATAAATTATTCTTAATGGTTTTCTTTGTTTCTTATATCACTTCGGTAGATTCTCCTTCCTTAAAACCCTCGAATCATAGCTAATAGAGAAATAAAAATGATTTTTGTTTTAATTCATCAAAGAAATAAATGAGAATATTGTTACAAACAATAACATATAAACCTTAATGGATATACAGCTAAGACATTTTGAATACAGAACCGACTGACATATCAACTGATTACTGACTTCATTTTACCGGTGAAATACATAAATCTTAGATAACTTTCTACTAGATGAATTCATCAGAGTTCTAATGAATAGTCGTAATCTATCAAAGTAACTAAACTAAAAGTATAAAACCTAAAAGAATGTGTATATTTTGATCTACATAAGAGTAAGATAAGACTACTGTTCGACGAAAACTACTAAAATACTAAAACGATAATCAGCTAAAAATAACCCGCCCAAATTATCATTGATCTTTCTCATTTCAATGTATTACAACATGGGTAAACAAAACAGTTTACAAATTAATCATTAAGAGATTAAGGATATATATAATTTTTATGAACTCTAAAATGGTGTCAAAATTATGTCTTTGTTATAAGAGAGCAGATAAAACTGATATACTTTAGATTATACCAGTCAATTAGTGGATAGTTCTATTTGACAAAGGTTTCATGACAGTCGGATCTTACTAGCCAAGGGCATCTTCAATCTTGAAGAAATTGCTGCTCCCGAAAGGTGTAAGCCTTCATAGTTAGATGATCGAATCAAGAGTGTTACTTCTATTAACAGCAGTTTATTTCTACCATTATAACTATCTCACTGAGAAATATGGGCTTTAGGTCCGAACAAGAGGGATTGTATTGACAAAATTCGAAAAGTTCAAATATATTTTTATTGATTTTAATTTTGCTAATAATACTATTGTCTTTGGATTTTCTACCGACTGCTGAATAAAGAGTCTTTAACTAATAGTAACTAAATTATCAGACGTAACTCAGCTAAATAATATAGCTGATTTAGACCATTCAGTCTCTTTATACATTGATTATAATGTCTTACATAAACTCTATGTAAAACAGTTCTCGACGAAGAATCCTACAAAACATACATATTATTAAACGGAAATAGGTCGAGAAAACATGTAAATTCGAGTAAGGTGAAACTTTATTCATGTCAGAAGAATTTCAAAACTCCTTTACGTAAACACTCTTGGCCTAATGGATTCCTGAATTAGGCAACATAAGTAACAGAGATTTTTTTTCCTTTAAAATCATGATGTATCTTAAAACGTTTGATTGGAGTTGGCAAGGTAAAATTATTATTATTTATTTAGATAGTATTGTTTGTGATCGGATTATTCCCAATATATGTTAAGTATCATCTGGAAAACCGTCAAAATAGGGGACCAGTTTATAATAAAGGTACCCTTCAATGTATAAGGTTAGTTTCAATCTGTATTGGGAAGGCCAGTTTGAGACGAATGATTTAAAATTACAAACACCAAAGGTTATCAAAGTAATAGACATCTATTAGATTGAGAACCAACGAAAACCGTGAAGTACATTACGGCCGTTTCTTCTATCATCATGGTTTCATAAAGCTCTCTGGTCTTGTAACAAAACCAAACGACTGAGTTACAATTTAATGGTTCACAATTTTACTTTCACCTGACTCACTATATGGTATAACTGTTAGTTGATATCATCAGTGATTGTATACTACACAAGGATGATTACACAGGTTACTGGGTCCCAATAAAACCTAGAAAAATGTGTCTCAAATTCATTGATTATAAAGTACATAATTATCACTAACCGACTGGTAACATAAGAAGATGACCATTCTGTATCACTGTGTAGTGTATTATAAAGTTATGTTATCGATCTCTGTATTTCATTCAACCAAGTATTGTTTTCATATCTAATAATGCATGCATACAGGATTGCAGTGTAGACATTATTCAGTCTTACAAATACTGAAGCGTCAAAGAAAACTAGAATAATCACATCACTGAAATAGACCACAATTAGGTGTTATTAATATCTATTCCCAATACTTGTGCTAATTTTTTTAAATTAAACTTTGAAAAGAACTAATTTGCATCATCTTACTGAAACAAGTCAATTTGTAGTGTACGAGGAACAATTCAGGCAACGAGTTTCAGTTTGCACTATTAAGTATTTCTAAGATGTTTTCCAGGTCATTTTGATTTCGTCGGATTCTCTGAGCTGAATGGCTTAATTGAGAAGCTTTCTTTGCCACTCTGTTCAGAATTATCCGTTCCTACTGCACGCAGAAATCCTATTCTTAATAATTATCCAACAAGTACCAAGGCAATCTGTTTTAATAGGTTTGTTTGTGATTAATTGTCCCTGAAGGTTGGGTTATCTTTATATGTCTTTAAATTATCTCCAACCATTTGTTCGATGTATTATTTCTTTAAGGATTAATGAACTGAATCTATACTTATACGTTCACTAATGACAGATTAATCTGAATGGAATACTTCTAGCAATTCTTTGACACTACTTGAATTTCGTTAGTCCTGAGTTTCCACATTTTCCCTATCAAATTTGTGGCTGTAGATGTTTACATGTATTTTGTATAAGTGGTAATATAATGTATCCTTTCGGCACTACTTTACTTCTTTGTATATGAAGATGTATTTATGGTATAACAATTCGGCTACACAAATCCCAGTAATTTTCCTATAGATTAGATTTAAATCCAAATCGTTTTATAATTGACTACTTGATTATTTTTTACTAATGAATTTTATTGAACAGCCTTAGTTTACTACTAATAAATCAAAATGGCTAAGCCTATTTACTGCTGACTAATGACACTAAAATTTGAAGACTTAATTATCATATTGAAGCTGAAAATGTTTTCGGTTGACTGAAGGTTGTGAATATTCTACGACTTAGAAAATAATTCTAGTTGTATGGCGTTACGATATTAGTATGATTTAAAATAGTTCTTGTCATAGACTAACACCAGCTGCGCTACTAAGAACCTGGAACCACCAAAAGCTGTTTTGTCTTAGTTTGGAACTATTAATTGCCTTCCAAATACTTCCTCGAATTAAATACAGAACCTTCAGCTGTTATGGTGAGCACACCACATTTATATTACTATATTAAGATCAAAAAGTCCATATTTTTGACTTCAGTCAGTTTGAATTATAATCCAAAAGTCGTTCAATCTTATCGGTGGTTAACTGCACTATCTGTTGACTCATTTGAACTCCACCAGTCACGACTTCACACTAGGACTTAAGGAGTCTATCTTCATGCTTGTCAATAATGAGTATATGATCGTTGTTTAGTTAGTCTATCGGTGGCGTTTGTTTTTATTTGAAAATACCTTTTATAGGAGTTTGGTACTCCTTAGTAGTGTGCATATATGGTATGTGTATTTTACAACCTACAATAAATATTCTCTCGAAAAAGGTTTAACCAACTCACATAAATGACTGGATAATCCAATCTTTCAACTCCTGCTTATCAATTTTTAAATTATTGTCAATATCAATTTTATGGAATAATTTTCCTAATTGTGATTTTGCTTCTTCTGGATCTAATTCTTTAAATTTCTGTGAATATTCATGGGAACCAGTAATTAGATCGTGATCATATTCACTGTAGTGTTGTCCAAAATCATCATAATGTTCATGACCTTGATAATTAGAGTCATCTAACATATGAAGATCAGGTTCATCAGGACGTAAATAACTATCGAATTTCACGTTGATATTATCAAAATCACTTGAACAAGTGACTATTTGAAGTATACTAATTAAGTAGTTTAGGGATAACATATTGAGCTGTAATAATATGTTGACAATAGTGGCAAAGCAACAGATTTATATTACGTAATATGTGAAGTTTAAGGTCAATAATTTGTTATTTTCTGCCGAACATTTTTCTCTACCTTTTAAATACATTGTTAATAATACGGGTACCTTCATTTGAAATCTAAACATTACGTTTAATTAAACGTATTCTTATTGGATTGGTTCGTGAATATTGAAAGAATTTCGTTAATCCATATTAATTGATATTAAAAACAGTTGTTAAGCAAAGAAATTCATTTTATAGTTGTATTGTTCAAGTTGAGAGTGTTCAGTTGTCATTGAACTGAGGTAACTTGGAATTTGTGGCTTCCCAAGGGAAAAGTAGAGTAACGACTGTTTAACTTTTCTGTAAAGAATCAAGAAGATTCCATAACTATTGAGATCAGTTTCAGATAAGCGATTGTCTAGTGGTGTTAACTGCACAATTTTCGACAGACATTTTGTCCACTGGATACTGTGTATGGTAGAATTCTTTGATTACACGAATGCTTACAAGGACGATCCACTATCCCGCCTCGTGGATGCACTGTTGAGGAGTCCCACAATAGGACGAAACGGCCGTCCAGTGCTTTCAGGTTTTCCATGGCTGTCTAGCTCCAATTGACTCATGATATCAACTATTGAAATTACTATAATGTCCACAAAACCCCTTCTGATATTTGGATATTGATAGCCGGTTCATTTGATTTGTTGTAGATCAAATGTAAAGAAATTTCGCTCTAGTTTTAATACCGTTTTGTTCAAATCTTCTGATTTGGTTATTGGTCTGTTCTCATTGATTCTTCAGAATTGTTTCGAATTACCGCGGCACATTCAGCGAAGGTCAATATTTTATCTCCCCTTTTTCATATGTGTTAAAGTGTCTTATTTTTAGTAGCCTTTGGAATTACTGTTTCGTTTCTTTGATCCAAATTATCAGTTCAATGCAGTATAATCTCTGTGACTTTTGTATAACGCTCCGATTTGTTATTATTGTCATTGGACTTATTCAATAGTAAACGTTTCACAGATTTATATTAGATATTAACAATTTTCAAGAAAACATTATATGGATTACTTTAGTATATCATTTAGCAGTATTCAACATCATGGTATCATTATATCAAGTCACTCTGGCATATAGACATATCGCAATGTATTTGATAGAATTCTATGAACATTAAAAATTGAGGTAAATGAAATTGATTTTTAACAAATGACCAGTTATTTACAAGTGAGCAAATTATTACTGTTCAATTGAGTAGTTTGTACAAAAATTAGTTTAACTCGAAGATGATTGTCTTTATGAACCTAATATCTGTGTAGAACCTAGAAATACCAGTACATACTATTTTCAATAAACACCAAATTATTATTAAGAGTATCACAATAACTGGTAAATATTTTTTTCGATTTGTAAAGAAAGACGAGTGGCTGAAGCTTTCCATATATTGTTAAACTTTATGGTGTTTAGTATAAAGAAAGTTATAACTTTTCTTCCAGCTTGAACTACTTATCTAAACAATCGTATTTAATTCTGCTCATAATATAAATATCCCATAGTTTTCATACCCACTAATGCACACACAAATACATTGTATATCTTACACAGAATCCATCTGATCTGAATAATAGAACATCGGTTTGATCGGAGTTGTTTAGCCGAAGCGAAGATTTTGCTTTATTCCTCTGTACTAGTTAAACTTGTGTTACTTTGATTATTTACTTATTTTCTGAAAGAGTGACTTACAAAAATCCATCTTGCTACTCATTAGGATATTCCAGGTTTTCCAGGTTTTCGATGGTGGTCTAGCTTCAATTGACTCATGATTTCAACTGTGAAAATACTAAATTCTCCACAAAACCCCCTCTGATCTATTATAAATAAGTCATTTTTTTATTATAAATCATCCACCCAATACTCAATTTAGTTGAAATTATGAATCCAAACACTGATTATGATGTTGATTAAAATGAATTTGTGTACATCGAGACAATGATACAAGAGCCTAATAGAATCTATGAATTAATTATTCATTCATGTCTACAAATAAACTTGGAAACCGTTTATCGAGTGTAGTCAAATAGATGCTGAATTACTGACGATTAGTTACCACTCAATTTTGCGTATTTTTGGCTTTCTTCAATACAATCCAACTAAAGTTATGAAGAATTTCGGTTCATCGATAAGTTATATCAGGACAGACTGAGCTTTCTTATCTCCAATTTTTCTGAATGAATGATGTAACATAAAGACTACGATATTATTGAAATTGACTGAAGAGTTTCAAAAATATGGTACACCATGGCATCGAGTAATTGACTTTAAAAAAGATTGACAGAAATCTTTTAACATTAGAACACAATAATATGATACTAGTTATTGACTAGTGAGTGTTAATTATTCTTAAATGATCTAACAATAACCAATGAACAATTTGGTAAACAGTAATCCTTAACTCACTAGTGACCAGCTTTGAGTTGAGTTTTCAGAAGTTTCAATCAGAAGCTGAGGTCATTCAAGTCAGTTTATAGGGAGAAAAATTTAATGAGAGTCAAGCCATCTTACAAACTGTCTGAATTTGAAAATCAGAACTATTGATTGCTTATTCATATACAACTCGTTTCAAGATTTGAAAATAGTAGATTTGATTCCATATGGAGTAGTTGTTGTACGGTGCATCTGAGAAGTTTTAAAGCTATAAAAAAAGCAACTAACTAGTGCATCTTCGTTTCTTGGTGATTTTCACATTGGCGTTAATCCCTGATGAAATTACTGTCAAACTGTACAGTTCCACAGTATAAAAATCATAATTATACAAATATTTTAGATTTTAAAGAATGACAGTAACAATATTTGCTTACATATTTTTTTCCCAACTAATTATTTAGAAAAGTTCGGTTTTCACAACAAAATATCAATGTTAATTTGTTTGCCTGATTATTGTCTAGAAAGAAGTTACAGCAGACACGGACTTGAACATCTACATACAGTCATAGACACACACAGATGAAAAATAATAGAGAATCAATTAGGCTTGTTTCTTTGATAAGAAACTTTGAAGTAGTTCTATGGGTAACGGAAATACAATAGTTGAATTTTGTTCCGTTGCGATCGTAGCCAATGTTTGTAGATAACGTAACTGTAAGGCAGTTGGTGATCTAGCCATTTCCTCAGCAGCTTTTCTTAATGTCGACGATGCTTCTAATTCACCTTGTGCTGCTATTACTTTAGCTTTAGAAGCTCTAACAGCTTGTGCTTCTGCCGCCATGGCTCGTTGCATTTCTTGAGGCAATGAAACATCTTTAATTTCAACTCGTTCCACCTACAATTATTAAAAAATTAACGTACAGTAACAAATAAACTAACTCCACTTGATGTTAAGAGAAGAGTTAAAATCTATGGTATCAAGATTCGTGATACATTTTACACTGAATCATTAGCTATCAAAATTCACTAATCAAGAAGGCGTCCGCTTAGTCCGATGTAGTGTTTGTTGCAGTTGGCACAATTTATTTTGTAGATGATGTTTGGTTTGTCTTTTTTTGTTATTGCATCCTTGGATTAGCATAGGATTGAATGGAGGGATTTTGTTGGTTTGTGAGCAACACCGATTCCAAAGGCTTTCAGCAGTCTCGTTGTCGTTTCTAACATACCTTTTATGTATGGTATGTGATCCTTTTGTTGATTTTTGCACTTCGTTTCTACTGATGAGGGTGCGGCTGGTATTTTTTGATGAAATTGATTGGGTAGCCGTTCTTTTGAAGGATGGTTTTCAAGTATTTTTCTTCATTTTTCCGTGCTGTAATTGTGTTTCAGTATGTCCTCGCCCTCCTGAACAATGTTTGTACACAGTTGATTTTGTGAGCTCTTGGGTTGTTGCAGTCTAGTTGATAGCTTGCCGTTCGACTCTTGTTCCATGGTGAACTTGATGTCATTGAAGACGTTGTTGATCAGCCTGTAGGTGTTTTGTAGTTGATGTGTGTGTGTCGTCTACATAACGAATCCAAATTTCTGGCTTGATCACTGGTAAGATAGCGGTTTTTAGTCTTTGCATTACTGCTTCTCCGACAAGGCCCGATATTGGTGATAACACCGGTGTCCCTTTTGTTTGTTCGTAGATTTTGTTGTTGAATTGAAAATATGTCGTTAGGCATAAATCTATGGGTTCTAGTAGGCTTTGACTTTGAAGCTTCGTGTACTTTGAGAGATTTTCGTCGTTGATGAGAAGCAAGGATAGAGTTTTTTTTGCTAAGTTTGGTTCGATTGAGGTGAATAGCGCTGTTACATAGAAGGATATCACCAGCTCGTCGTTGTTGACTTGAATGTTCTTAATCTGATCAAAGAATTGTGTGGAGGATTTGATGGAGTGGTTCGACGAATCTTATCTTGTCGGTTAAATAAACACTACCAGTTTCGAACGCATGTGTGAAAACAAGTTGTGTGAAATGCCTAATCTTTCCAACAAAAATCATCTTATACTTTAACTTGTTTTTATATTTGATAAACCGATCCATTCACGGTATTTCCTTGATCACTAGATTGAACACGGATAAATTTAGTCAACGGTCGCTACCAAATTTAAGCTTGATAGGTTTCTTACTAATACAATTCTGGCACAAAACTGTCTAGGATTAATAATATCGGTACAAAAAGCATATAACTCATCTACGTGTATACCAGAATCATGGTACAAATAACGCACTATTCAACAATAAAAAGAACATTAATATGCCAATCTGAAATTGAGATCAGTCAGCCAGGTCAGAGAACGCATATTCCCGAAACGATCTGATATGGTAATAAGATAGTTACTGACCTGTTTCTATTTACCTTTTTTAAAGTCTGGTTCGTTTGAAAGTGAACAAATGCTAGGTAATTCAAACAGTAGCTAGAATTTAATTCAAACAGATATAAAACTCGTTTCCTTCATTAATTAATAGGATTTATTATGCTTTTAAGCTAGTTTTTTAGGATTTTGTACAGCTTATTCTCCTGATAACTTTGATCAGGTGAAGAATAAAACAATAACGGTGGAATTGAAAGAAGTCAGTTACTTTATTTGAAAATTACTTGACAACAGTGAGGAAACTAATATCATTCATGTTAATTCCTTTGATAAGATAATTCGGATTGATATAAAATTCCAAATATTAATAAACCAAACAATAAATAAACAAGCAATGGCTTGGCTTTTTTACCTTAATTCCCCATTCACCTGTAGCCTGGTCAAGTAAAATGGCCAGCTTGGAATCAATTTGGTCACGATTTGTCAATAATTGAGATAATTCATATGTTCCCAATACTGAACGCAAGGCTGTAACTGCAAGTAGCTCGGCTGATTTGGTTGCATTTTCAACTCGTAATAAAGCTGCAGCTGGTTCGATCACACGCATGAATACAACAGCATCTACACCAACAGTAACTGCATCACTTGTCAATATCTCTTGTGGTGGTATGTTCACAGTCTTTGTACGCAAATCTATGCGAATCATTTGATCTGCGCACGGCATGACAAACTGTAATCCTGCACCTAAAACATATTTCCCACCAGATCGTTTTAAACGACCAAAACGTAAAATAATAGCTCTTTCATATGTTTTGACTGTACGAATTGCAAAAAATATTGTTATTGGAAAGGTACAAATAAATAGTATGGTTATGAGAATGAACAGTATGACACCTCCTGCACCAATACCTTCCTCATCTGGTTCCCAACGTGGCTCAGGATTCCTTTCATTTGATTGTTCAATATCCACAATCTCCACAGTTGATAATTCTCTAGCTGTCATATGGACTAACTTATAGATACACTATCACAAATATCATTTAGAGAGTAAGAACTAAGTGTTTTTCTTTGGAAATGAAGCTATACTTCTACTTGATTGGTTGTATGCAACAGCAAATCATATTTTTTTTAATTGAAATAATTTCAGCAAATGAAATTCAAGAAACTGTTAGTGAGGCTTGATTGTCATGACAATGCTGCTTATAATATGATTAATAAGTTCACTGGAGGTGAAATCTTAGCAACAAAAACAAATTTTGATGATTAGATTATTGTTAAGTTTAATTTGAAATTAAACATCTAATATGGCGTATGTTCTAACACTGGATTTAAACATTAATTAGTAAACTGTTTATATTGAACGTCGTCAATCAACTTAGATTACAGATAGATAAGAGGAATAAAATAATTAAGTGGAAACATACTTCAATGAACTTCAAGATGTTTTAGCTCTGATGAAGCAGTGGTGATCGAGTTTACATTTTAAGGTGGAACATTAATAAGATTACGCAGATATATGCAGCAAATAAGTTGAAAATCACATTCTGGTTTGAACTGTTATCTACTATCGAAAGTATAAAAAATTTTTGAAAACTCTATACCTCATTGAATTTCCTCAGAAATACTTCCAATGAATAATATTTGTTTCTTTAGATTTGGTTGGATTACTCAGTGTCATTTGGTCTACCTAATGATTTAAATACAAACATTCCTTATCGACGTACAGTCATTCCTAGAAGATTTATTGTAATTAAAGTTCATAATAATCATTATTTCATTTAACATTTAGTGATAAATACAAACAAATATAAAGAACGAATTGTCTAACTTAGACGTTTGATATTTCATCGAATTGCTTAGATAGCATTCGTTCAGTAGAAATGTATGCAATTAGCTGTTACTTTAGTCATATCAAATTATTTTAAACCAAGTTTTTTGCATTTCAGTCATACCTGTAACTGCTAGTGAACCACTTAAAACCGAAGCTAATGAATACCTGTCCCAATGCATTCTTTAGCTTTTCAGTAGATCTCAAGAAGTTGAAGCCCTATGGATATGACTTCAAAAACATAAAATCAACATTCATTATCAAATGCCATCAGTTCGATCTTTTGATGTAACCGTGAATACTCACTGGTAGTGGGTTTATGATTAGGACGATCCAGGTGTCTAGCTGTCTAATAATAAAATGTACAAAATATTATCAAATGACTGGTGAAACTCATTTTCTTTTATGTTGGAAAAATGAAACAGTTTGTATACCATTAACTTAGGTAATGTTTCAGAGCATTACATAATTCAAAAGTAACTTCCACCACGTATATGTATTTTCTAACTATAGCTTCTGTATTATTAAGAATCATGGAAGATGTTATTCACAAACAAACATTATTGAGTCATAAATTATTCATAACCAATTAAATATTAAAGGAAGTTTTTATTTAGTGATTCATATACGAATCAAAAATTTTAAGACAAAGATATTTGAGTGATGACTCCATTGACCGTTGTATTGATAACTGATGAACTATTGTAAAGAAAATTATCAACAATTAATTCAGTGGAATTACCTTATAACAAGTGCCATGACAACATCTCACTTATTGCATATTATGTTCACAAGATGTTTTCTTCATTGTTATTATTATTATTTCTGTTAACACCATTGACAATGGTATTATGAATAACTCCATTAATCAAATTAAATTCTACTGTGCATTTTATTCGTATCATTCATTTTATTATTAGATTGATTATCATTTGACAACTTACACTGAATCACTCCAACCTTTTTTGTGAATAATCTATCTAGTTTACAAATGAGACATTTTTAAAGCGTTTGTCCAATAACAGATGCGAAACGTCATTATTTTTTGATGTAACATTTTATGGTTCATTAAGATGGTCCGTTTTGACCTTTGTAACACAAGGATTATAAACCTATAACTGTAGTGTGTGATAACGACGTTATTGGAAAGAGATTTTGCTACAATAATATTGTTATTTTTATCAATATATTAGCATTTCTGGTCAGTTCAGTTTGTATAAATATAAGGTCATAGAAAAGGGTTTAAAATTCATAAGTTGAAGTTATTATAACTGGGAATGACACCGGCATTACTTTACATAAAGGAGATGGAGAATACTATCGATAGATCAAAATTATTTTCACTATACATAGACGACAAGCCCAATAGCTCATCTCAACGTGATTTTAGTTCAGTTCTATTACATAAACAATGCATACTTACAGTACATAAATTTATTTGTCCAAAGCGAATGTACATATATGTGCATGCATGTTTAGATGTGTATCGTAAAATGAATAACAGGTACAATATTGAGAGAACACTTATTTAGCTACAAAATTTATCACATGGCAAAATGTATTTCATGGTCTTTGCGAAATCTATGTAATTATTACATAGACCTTCACCTTTCAAGTAGACATTGTAAAAGTTGGCAAGAAACTCATAAAGATAAATAACATTAGGATCACGTCGATTTTTTTTAAATAAATTTTTTTTGTCCCCCTTAATCAAAAAATTTTCATCCCATTTTCCAATTTTTTCAATCCGTTTCGTCCATAAAGATGAATGCGTTTTATGGTTTTCTTATTCGTTTGTTTGTTTGTTTATCTGATTTTGTGGACAACCACTTATAGAATATTGCCTTTTGAAAATGTTGAGTGTTTTCTGTCTAAAAGCAAATCAACAAATGGAGGTGGAAATGTGAACCACTAGATGTGAAATCAGTAATAATCGAATTGTAGTGAATGTAAATTATAGGTATATACACGACTGTTTTTTGACATGGATAACAACATGTAGGCTGAGATCATGAGTTGTAGTACAAACGACTTCTTCCAATAGCATGTCTTGTTTACAATTTCTCACCTGTTATTTGACCCTGTGAAGACAAATGAGCACGGAAGAGTGACAAGTTCGCACTCACCCAGCCTATCAAAGTAATGCACTTGATCCCATATCTTGGAAATGCTAGATTTAATACTCGGTAGAAATGCGAGTGCCTGTGTTTCAAAATTACTATGTTAAAATGAAATGCATTTGATATTGATGTCAGTTTGTCTCTATCTAATAAGAGTTTGTTTCCATGTAACAGTTACAGATCACGAATTCCGTTAAGTAGTTAACACACATGTAAATTAAACTATGTATTTCTAATTATTATAATTGACTGATTGATTTTTACGTGAATGTGGTTATGGTATTTACAGTTAGATAGCAAAATGGGTTGTGACAAATTTCTAAATAACAGTCAGAAGTTCAAGCTAACAGTTAGTTATAGATAAATTTTATTTCAACTAACTCGATTTGTATTAGGAAGATAAAAATTGCTGAAATAACTTTGCTAATGAATTATATTCAATTACTCATCTATCAGTTGTCTGATTCCACGTTGTCGAAAGTTGTCTAACACGCGTCAATAGTAATCACGTGTAAATTCTGATTTTCAAATATGGTATAAGAATGGATTTTATGATGGTGTTCAAAATTACTGTATCTTTCGATTTTAAAATCGATAACATCATCTGGCTCCGAATACTTCAATAACAACTTTTTAATGACATGTTTCACTTTTAGCTTGGGCTCAATTTGAAGTACCTTGAAACGTTGCTATTATGAATCTATTCAACAATGCTGTCATTATGAAAGCTAATGCAAAATGGAGTTCTTCTGGTAATAATCTTGAGCCCTTTGTTTAGGTTTGTTTAGGTTAGTGATTTACATGTGGTGTCATAGTTGTTTTTGTTTTTTGTTTATCTTTTTCATATCATGATGAACTATCCTCTGTAACGATGATAAAATAGTATTGTTGACCCTCGAAGCATCATACTTTTGACTCTTTTTATTTAGCTTTTCTACAATCGTCGCACCATATATGTCACAAATGTTTACATTCGCTTGCTCGTAATGTCTATAAGATTGTAGTGACCGGCCAGTCTCGGTAAGAACACGATTGGAACAACGGAAACAATTATTATTATTGCAACCAATTGTACCGGAGATTGTTTTACTGTATTTGTTTAACTGTATCAGTTTCACTTCTGCTTTCACTCTCCGCCTTGTTTGGTTCGAACTTGCTCACGCACTGCCTGTTCGCCTGTACTCCTTGGCACGTCTCGGTATTATTTCGATACCACGAGATCGCCAATAAATACAATTGATCTGGATTAATAAAGTCTTCTGATTTACGAGCTATCAAAGGAACCAAGTCGTTTTATGGGCGCGTAAACGAATTGTAGTGGTGATCATAGTCCGTCTTCGACTCGACATCCACTACAAGATTTTTGAACTGAAGTCTTCCATAACACTTCCTGTTTTCTTTCATCATTCCTATTGTCATCGTTCTTAGTATCGCTATCAGTTGATCGAGTAATTTTAGGAATCGATTTTTATATGTAATCGGCACTCATTTCTGTCATCAATTCGTTCGAGTTTGGAAACAGTGTCGTGCATTGAAGTTTAAACAGATACAGATAAACGTCAACTCCTAAATAAATTAGAATATTCAACATTAATTAGAATAAAATGTCATCATCGTTCTGAAATAAATCACAGCACCTCACTCAGAGATACCCGACGTGAGGATTTGTAATTAACGATTCAAACTAAACATTTGATTTCGACTCAATTTGTTTTCAAAAGCTTGCAAATTCGGTGGCCACATCGAAATATCTGGACTTTAAATAAAGACTTCCAATATTTATTTTAGTTATTCGTCAGACTAGGTTCATAAAACATAATCGAAGAACAAGTCAACTTTTCATATGTCAAGCTAGTTTATCGAAGTGTATTCAGATAATAAAAGTGTCGAAGCGATCCTTAAGGAACTTGTGGTCCTAATAATTTGTCTATAAATGAGTGAAGTAGATATTATGTAGTCACATGACTCTTGATTCTATCTTATTTAAGTTTTTATAAATATTCACATGATTATTACTGATGAGCTTTAAGATGGTTTTACAGTCATTACTAAAATTCCAAAGGATGTCTGCATTTTGAGGTGCTCTAACGCTTTTATTGAGAAGAGGAACATGTTTTTGTATTCTTGAGGTACTATTAACTACTGACAACTGATCAATGCTCTTCACCCTATAAGATGATTTAATTTGATGAAAATTCATAGTTATTTGTTCAGCCACTGTGAATTAATTCATCCTAAAGTAACGTTTCGCAAGTGTCTTAATAAATTATGATAATTAACTGATAT